TTCCACGCTTTAACTCCATCCCCCACTTTTTAACTTTTTGTTGTTTCCCTATCTTTTTATACTATCTCTCTCTCAAAAAGTTGTAGTTATTTTTGATAGATTTGTCTTTTAGTCTTCCTACTTGAGATATAAGTGGTCTATATACCGCAATTACAATAGAATATTTTGTATTTGTGTACTTTACTGTTATTGGTGAATTGTATACCTTCAGATGATTTCTTATTGTTGATTAATGTCTTTTTCTTTCCTACTATAGAACTCCTTTTAGCATTTTTTGTAGGATGGTCTGGTGTTGATTAAATCCCTCAGCTTTTGTTTGTCTGAGAAATTCTTTATTTCTCCTTATTGTTTGAAGGATATTTTTGCAAGATTTAATATTATAGGCTTACATTTTTTTCCTTCAGCACTTTGAGTATGTCATGCCTCTCTCTTCTGGCCTGTAACATTTCCACTGAGAAGTCTGCTGCCAGACCTATTGGAGCCCCTTTATATATTATTATTTTTAATTTTTTCTTGTTTCCCTTAGGACCTTTTCTTTATCTGTGACCTTTTGGAACTTGATTATTAAATGCCTTGAGGTAGTCTCGTTTGGGTTAAATCTGCTTGGTATTCTATGACCATCTTATACCTGAATATTGATATCTTTCTCCAGGTTTGGTAAGTTCTCTGTTGTTATTTCTTTGAATAAACTTTATACCCCAATATCTCTGTCCCTAACTCCTCTTTAAGGTCAATAACTCTTAGATTTACCCTTTTGAGGCTATTTTCAACATCTTATAGGCATGCTTTTTTTCTTTTTTTTTTTCTCTTCTGTGTATTTTCAGATAGCTTGTTTTCAAGCTCACTAATGCTTTCTTCTGCTTAATCAATTCTGCTGTTGAGAGATTCGTATGCATTTCTCAGTTTGTCAATTGAATTTTTCAGCTCCAGAATTTCTGCTTATTTTTATTTTTCATTCTTTTTGTTAAGTTTCTCTGATAGGCTTCTGAATTCCTTCTCTGTGTTACCTCGAAGTTCACTGAGCTTCTTTGGGATAGTTATGTTGAATTCTTTGTCTGAAAGGACACATATCTCCATCACTCTGGGATTGGCCGCTTAGACCTTCTTTAGTTCATTTGGTGAGATCACGTTTTCCTGGATGCTCTTGAGGCTTGTGGATGTTCATCGATGTCTGAGCATTGAAGAGTTAGGTATTTATTTTAATCTTCACAGTCTGGGCTTATTTGAACCCATCCTTCTTGAGAAGGATTTCCAGATCTTCAAAGGGAATTGAGTATTGTGATGTAAGTCTTTGGTCACTGCAGCCATTTATTTCAGCATTGGGCATACCCCGAGACTAGTACTGCTGTGACTCTTGCAGAATCCTGGTGGTACCACCTTTGTGGACTTGGGTAAGATACAGGAGGATTCCCTGGATTACCAGGCAAAGTCTCTCACTTTTTTCTTTCACTCTCTGTGCTGGGTTGCTGGAGTTTGGGGAGTGATGTGGGCACTCCTTCATGGTCACTGCAGCTAAGCTTGCACCAAATCACACCTGAAGCAGTCCAGTCTCACCCAAATCCCTTTGTAATTATTACCTGGCTACCTCTGATGTTTATTTAAAGCCCAAGGGCTCTTTAGTCAACGGGTGGTAAATCCTGCCAAGACTGGGTCCTTCCCTTCAGAGCAGCATGGTCCCTTGTGGCCCAGGGTGGGTCTAGAAATGCCACCCTGGGACTAAGGCCTGGAGTCAGAGGCTTCAGGAGTCTGGCTGGTACTTTATTTTACTGTGGCCAAGCTGGTACCCAAGTTGCAAAACAAAGTCCTCTGAACTCTTCCCTCTCCTTTCCTAAAGTGGAAGAAGATTCTCCCTGAGCCACACTGCCTGGAATTGGGTGAGGGGTAGCACAGGCACTGTCTTGGCTATCACCACTGGTGTCTCACTGGGCCACATGCACCCCAAGACCCAGCCTGAGCCTGCACAGTTGCAGGAACTGCCCAAGGATTGCAGCCTTTGTGGCATGACTGCCTTATGAATTTATTCCAGGCCCCAGGCTGCTTTTTGTCAGCTGGTGATGGAGCTAGCCAGAACTTGGGTTTCAGGGTGCAGGATTTCCCTATTGCCAGGCTGCTCTAAATGCTTCCTCTGTGGATTCCAGCAGAGTTCTACCCCGTGCTGTGTTCCCCTGTGTCAGGGAGGCCCTGAGTTCCAAGGCAAAGTCCCACAATCACTTCGCTCTTCCTCCCTTGGGCACACAGATTCTCTCTCCACTTGGCATGCTGGTGCTGCACTGCACAGGGGATGAGGAGAGGGGTGGTGTAGGCTATGCAAGACTGTCTTTTCTACCCTCTTCTGTTGATATAATGTTAAAACCAGATACTGTGATCACTCACCTGATTTTTGGTTCTTCTGAAGGTGTTTCCTTGCATAGACAGTTGTTGAATTTAGAAACAAAGATTCTGAAAGTAGGCCTTCAATTGGGTTGAAGAAAAACCATTCTTTTTTCTGTGGGACCTGACAATTTGTCCTAGTCTTTGAGTTCTAAAGGTTCCTGGGGTATTTCTGGTGGCATGGAGTAAGTTGGCCCTGCCTGCAAGCCAAGTGAAAGCCTTGTGACTATTGGCTCTTGTAACAGTAGCAAGTTATTTTGTATGATATATCTCTTCTCTTATTACTGAAGTCTCTGTAGAGTCATGATAAACATGCAGCTTCAGCTTCAGTTCTGTTGTGCTGTGCAGAATTAAGTAACAGGTGTGCCACACATACGGAAGGGAATAAGAAAGGGGAGAGCAGTGTTTTCTTCTCCATGTTCTGAGTAGACGTAGTACTGGTTTTCCCATGTGGGGGGCAGCTGTGATCTCATGAAGATGACCAACACAGAGAAGGCCGTGTGGGGGTGAGAGGAGGAACCAGAACATGAGAAGCCTATTCCTAGCCCCATGTGAGAAAGCACCTTAGCAAACTTTCAAAGAACAAAGAACTCTTGAGAATAAATAATTTCCAGTTATAAAACATGGCTTGAAGCCATGACAATTTAGTTATTAAAGTCAATGTGATCTTAATTTGTGGTCAAAATCTGGTGAGGCCAGGATATTTGACTTACAATACAAACAGTATTTCTAAAAGTGCCTAAGACCAAAACTTTCTGTTCTCTTCAGTATATATAGTAATTTTAAATATTCTTCCTTATTAATTTCTTTGACAATAAGGCAATGGTAAACCAGTTCATGCCTGAGGAGAAAGCTCCCAATTTCTAAATTTGTAGAGTCCTAAAATAAAAAATACATACATAGGGAGAGTGAGCATGTGCACGTAACCCTCAGTGAGCACAGCCCTGGAAATGTTATGAATTGTTGGGGATGTTCTTCTTAAAGCAGTTCATAACAGTATGAAAGAAGTTAAAGCTATAGAACGTTTATTTTTCTATTAATGTCACTTCTGTGTATTTATACTTTGTATATATGACAAATAATAAAGCAAGGTATATAGTATTGAGATTGCTGAATTGGAAACAAGGAGACAGGTTATGTCACTGACTAAATACATAAGCACAGGCAAGTCATTTAACCTTTCCTCGCCACAGTTTCTTCAACTGTAAAAATAAGAGTTGAACAGGGTTGCTTGTAAGGCTCTTTTCAGCTTTAATATTTTACGGTTAAAATAGGAACTAAGACAAATAGATGTATGTTTTCCAAACGATCAATCCAGTTGTGAGTTGAAAAGCACAAACCATATCTTAGACTCACATTCTCTAAGGAGCATCATATACTTCCTTACATATAGCAGGTAGTTAAGAGAATATCTGTTGATCATATTTAAATTTTTTATGTGATTGGTTTCTCAAGTAAGTACATGGACTAAGCTATTTCAGAGGCTCTTTCCAACTCTATTATTCTAAGCTTAAAATATAACTTAAGCCAAATAAATAATGTAGTTAGATCAACAACATTTTAAATTCAAGGACAGAAGTCTTGTCTTTGATCTATGTATTCTCTTTGAAGCCTCGTATTTCTTTCCATAGCAGGTGATGAAGGAACATCTCTGATTATAGTTATTTATTTTATTTGCTTAGTTTTTTTTTTTTTTTTTGAGACAGAGTCTCACTCTGTTGCCCTGGCTAGAGTGAGTGCCGTGGCATTAGCCTAGCTCACAGCAACCTCAAACTCCTGGGCTCAAGCGATCCTACTGCCTCAGCCTCCCGAGTAGTTGGGACTACAGGCATGTGCCACCATGCCCGGCTAATTTTTTCTATATATTTTTAGTTGTCCAGATAATTTCTTTCTATTTTTTTAGTAGAGACGGGGTCTCGCTGTTGCTCAGGCTGTTCTTGAACTCCTGAGCTCAAACAATCTGCCTGCCTTGGCCTCCCAGAGTGTTAGGATTACAGGAGTGAGCCACTGCGCCCGGCCTGCTTAGTTTTTTTTATTTGCTTAGTTTAAGTAAATTTTTCAACATTATAACACTGAGTTATTTTAAAAACTCATTTTTAATCATAATGTCTCTCTACTTCTTGCTACCTAAATCTATGTCATAAAAACAAGGGAACAAATGGGAAATGAGTACCTAAGTGAGTGAAATATTCTGTTCCTTACTTTTCCTCAATTAAGCTTTTAATTAGCTTTTCCATACTTAAGATACTAAATGTCATGAAGAATAAACATTAAAAGTCCAACACTAATCCTGTAGCACTTATCCTAGTTGTCCCAGGTTTTCTATATTACAATTAGAAAACCATGAATTCAAATTGCTGAAGAGACTATACTCATAAAGAACATAACTTATGGCATATGTTCCATTGTTAATTGAAAACTCACAGTTAATAATTTTGGGGAGGAACCTTTCAGGCATGCAGCATGGCATAAAAAGGTAATGTTCTTTATATAAATTTTAGAGGTAGCACATATCACATGAAATGCTCAAGAGTTTACGAGCAAGAAAAAAGGGCAGGAAAAAATAAAATTCATGTGTACCCTATACAAGCAAATAACTCCTAATGAAACTCATTAAATACAAACACATGACTTTCATTCATTTGCATTTTATGGTTCTTTTTAATAGAAATTAAATTAGTCACTTAATGTACATAATGTAGTGTTTGTTTTCCAGTCTTGTAGCTTTTCAACATTCAATTTTAAGTCTCATGGGAAATGTTATTCAGCATCAAGATGTGATTTGATGAATGAACAGTGTCACCACCAACTGCACTTAACAGAAGACCGAAGAGTTGGAGTTAATCTGCAGCTAACAACATGGAGAAATGAAAGAAACACAGACCCACAATAGTATCAACATGCATTATTAGGCCAAGATTCAGAGTTAACCCAACCCACACAGATTCCTTCTAAACTGAGAGTACTCATGGAAAGGGATGACTTTATCGAGATCCATAGCTATAGTAGTAAGGTTCATCAGGGCGGAATCCATAAGCTGTGGCAGGGCGTCCAAGAATGCCAACTGGTTGGCCAAAGCCATCCACCCCAAGGCTAAAAAGAGAAAAAGGAATGGTAAGCTATATTTTTCGTCACACATCCACAATGCAGGTCATGTAAGAGGCCTAGAATTTTACACCTCCAAGATTCTCTTCCTAGCAGCGATAATGATTCATGTGGCTATCATTAATGTCTTCTTTTTTCTTCTTTAGGTTAATACAGCCATTAAAAATGTGTATAATAAAATATGCACTTGTTAACTGTGTTAAAAATGTCAGAAATCTGTCAGCAGGTAATATTCAAAGAAGAATCAAATCAGAAAGGTGTTAACAAATTATTTATATATGGCTTTTATGCCAAAATATGAAAAGATTTTACATGTTAGCAATTATCAGTAATATATTGCTAGGGAATGATAAAACTGTAATAAAGTGAGTTTTGCTATTTATAGTAAGATCTCTTTCATATGAAGATATAGAATTAATCCACTATTAGTTAGGACATGCAATTTGAATTACAGTAGTGAATTCTCACCCAGGGCCAAGTCATACCATGAGTCTGTGACTGAAAGAACATGACAAAGAATTCTACAAAATTTGAAAATTAGCCAAATTTGATCTGCAAATCCTTCTTCTGAATCCTCAGTACAAAAAAATTACTAAATAGTATATATTTCTTTTGAGTGACAGCAAGACAATTATAAATTGTGGTTCAGCTTTTTCTATAGAAGTAACAGAAGCTCAAAGATAACGTTCAGAGTTGTAAAGACAGCTTGAAACATGGATAAACTTTATGATTACTTTAAAAAATTATTCTTTGGTCTGTTAATAAATTATTTAGAGGAAAATTAGTTCTCCACAGCCCTTTTTAAGGATCAGGGAATTATGCAACACTTAGAAAAATGACAGAATATTTATTTTGCCAGGCAAATATGGCAGCTATAACATGCTCATGCATAGCTCATGCAGTGAATGCTGGTGAGCTTGATTTCCAATCAAAGGAAACCACTTATAATACAGAAATGTAAACTTTGAAAAATTATATTTAAATGATTTAGGATTATTTGATATTGTACTAGTCGAGTCAATGGAATGATCATTTTTCTTTACCAGAAAAATCTCAATATGATTAAACAATATATTCACATAGGCACTAACTTCTTCTAAAAGTGAGATTAAGTTGAAACACTTCACAAGTTACTATTAAAGTGTTAAGGTTTTAAATAATGTGCGTGTGTATGTGGATTAGGATAGAACTAAAGAGTAAATTTAAAGAATCAAAATATATATTGTTCATATGAAGCTACTCTTCAGGAAAATGGAATTTCTGAAATAAAAGTTTCACATTAGCATTTGTACTAAGTGATTATGAACAAATCAAACCTTTTGGGCTCTGTTTGTATCAAAAACTCTGTCTATAGTTTCTCTAGGTTGGTTGAAATTTTTGTCTGCATTTTATTTTGAAATGGTAAAAATATAAGCATCCTTTCCTACTTTGGTCCTATGGGAAGAAAAGTTAAATTTTGTGATGACAGGCAATATTATTTTAGAGTAACTTAAAAGATCTTTCAGAAGTTAGCAGAGTCAATGAACTAAGAGACACCTGTATCAGTTGAAAATTTGAAAGAAAGTTGTTGAAAACTCTTCTCCTGAAACACTAAGGCTAACAAATACTCATATATCTAAACAACTCCCAAATTATATGTGTTGATTATATAGCTTGTGGACTTCAACTTGTTCCTTCTTCACCTTTCTACTTATTACCTGCCTTAAACCACTCTTTACATATTTATTTTTTTTTTTTGAGACAGTCTCGCTCTTGCCTGGACTAGAGTGCAGTGGTGTCATCATAGTTCACTGCAACCTCAAACTCCTGGGCTCAAGTGATTCTCCTGCCTCAGCCTCCTAATTAGCTGGGACTACCGGTGTGCACCACCACGCCCGGCTAATATTTCTATTTTTTGCAGAGAGGGGGCTCACTCTTGCTTTGGCTGGTCTCACACCTCCCAGAGTGCTAGGATTACAGGTGTGAGCCACTGCGCCCAGCCTCCTTACACTTTTTTAACACCTCCTCTGAGGTTGAGTGGCAGCAGACTTGGGTTAAACTCAAGTTAATTTTATCCTTGTTTCTCAATTTAGGGGCTATGGTGAGATCTTTTTCAAGAATTTGGAAACAAGAGGCTCAGGAGATTAGTGAAAAAATATGCAAAGGCATTTACAAAACCTCACAGAGGATATGTTAGCAATATCACTGTAATTTTATCTAAAAGAAGATGATCCTCAGAAGGGAATTTGAAAGCCATGGTGGCACAGAACGAGCTTCTCAGCTGCAATGTTGGTAGTAGCAACTCAAGGAATTACTTGCTGATAAGATGACCTATAACACCATCAGGAATATCTGACCTTTTTGGTAGGCTTGTCTTCATTGAAGAAGGGGACTTAATAGATTTTCAGAGTCTGGGACTATTCTACATTCAAAGTGCACAACACTCTATTTTTTTAAATTTTTATGACTAATAAGCAAACTTCCGATCATTGTTTTCCTATGTGGTTTGCCAACAGGGTAAAGAATAAACTAACACATTACTCAATCTGCCTGGTGGTTATACCTTTCATTGTAAATTACCAAATGGATATTGTTTTTTTTCCTTTTCTTATTCTATCATGTGCAATGTTGATAAGAATCTATATCCATAAGTCAGTGAGGGACCAACCCTTGAGCACTGATGAGTCTGAGTTTCTGAACCTGCAAGTTTCAGGTCTTGAATAGTACAGTCTTTAAGGTCACTGTGGAAAAGTTCTATTTATGCAGTCACCAGTTCACCCAGGGACATCTATGTATTAAAGTGCACAGGACATCATTTAATTTTCTGAACTTCCATATCATTTGGGAAAAATTTTCAAGAGAAAATTTGAAACTGACTCTTTTTTTTTTCTTGAGACAGAGTCTCACTCTGTTGCCCTGGCTAGAGTGAGTGCCGTGGCGTCATCCTAGCTCACAGCAACCTCACACTCCTGGGCTCAAGCGATCCTTCTGCCTCAGCCTCCCGAGTAGCTGGGACTACAGGCATGCGCCACCATGCCCGGCTAATTTTTTCCATGTATTTTTAGTTGTCTGATTAATTTCTTTCCATTTTTAGTAGAGACGGGGTCTCGCTCTTGCTCAGGCTGGTTTCGAACTCCTGAGCTCAAACAATCCACCCGCCTCGGCCTCCCAAAGAGCTAGGATTACAGGCGTGAGCCACCGCGCCCGGCCGAAACTGACTCTTAAAATGAGCTTTTCTGGAATTATCTAACATGTATCACAGATCAACTTGCTGTTTAAAGAAAAGAATATTTTTTGACATAGGTCCTAGGTCCTTTTGTATTACGGAAGATCAACTATACCCATATGATTAAATTCACTGTGAAACAAAATAGTCTGCTTCTTTAATCTCTCTCATTCATCTCTCTCTATCTAATACAGTGGGGAAACTGGGCTTTCCAGGGTGCTAACACCTGGAGATAAGATATTCTTTTGGGATATGTAGACACTTAACTCTACTTTCTCCCTTGGGATAAGGATGAAGCTTTGGTAATGCTGAGTTTGGTCCAAAACCAGGAGAGCCTAATAATAAGTTTTCCTTTAAATAGGAGCAGACAGATTCTTTATGTAAGTTCTTCTGGAAGGGGGATAGAAACCACAAATATAAAAGGGCAGGGTCTCAGCAAATACTGTATTTTCCTGATCCTGAATGACTTGACTTAGACTAAACAGTATCAAACACACTTCTATCCCTCACTGGGGACTCCGAGGACCCAGGGAAACTAAGCTGTGATATGCTGTATCTGCTCTTGCCCTGTGTGACCATTTTGTTTTAGATAAGAGTTTGTATTATTTGGCTATTTATATTGGAATTTAATCCAATCCTGCATTGTGTGTGTCTCTGTATATACGTATTCTCTTTCCGCTACTCCTAATCCACATAAAAAGTTGTGTGTCCCCCTAGATTAGCATATGCCACTACTGCACTACTTTTTCTTTATAGGACTAGTTATTTAGTGTCACTTAACTTTATCCTTAATGTTTAGATAACAGATTCCAGAACTCTGAATTACCAAAATGCAGTATCTCCTCTTGAAAATACATAATTCTGGCCCAAAGAAAATGGTTATTGCTCATTGTGAGAGGATAACTAGGAATGATAAGGGAAACAAATCTGCTATTAAGTTTTATGTTCTAAGAACAGTGATTTTTGGGTAGCTAGAAAGGAAAATGACAAATTCTTTAAAAGTGAAAAATTTTATTTAATATCCAACAAATATAAAACCACATCTAGAATCTGTTTTTAAATAAACAAATTTAGAATCTAATTAGCATTCAGCAAACAGAAGACTGAACTTTCTGTAATATTTACAAGACTTCAAACAAACTTTTAACAACATTCATTAGAATGCTAAACCTGACATGATTCAGAGCAGAAAAAAAGACATCTGTAAATGACAAGTGACGCTTCACATGCAGCACATTACAAGGGATGGCAGCCACTAAAGAATCCTACTTCTCAGGCTCTTATTAAATTTCTGTGCCAGAGTTTGCATTCCTGTAGAAAGGGAAAAAAATCACCTACCTCTGGCTGTTTGTGAGGCTTAATTAGTGCATGTTTGTAAAGCACTTTGAAATCCTTGGATGAAAAGTGCTGCATAAGTGAAAAGTATCATCATTATTTTATTAAAATTAGATAAAAGCAACACAAGTCTTTTTCTTCTTTTAAATTCCTAAGTCAGCAATATGAATGCAGAACAAGTAATAAATATATTAGTGGATGCTACAAAAAAAAAAGAATAAATTCAAGCCAAATTCATTTTTCATAGGTTGATAGAAATCTTTGACTTGGAAACATTTTTAGAAATAATCTCATCTACAGTTCCATTCACAACATCCTTGACAGGGTCTATCCAGCTCTTATCTCCACCTCCAGAAATGGAGTGGTCAGTACTTTGTCAAGGCAGTTCATTCCCTTTACGGATACGTCAAACTGTTGGAAAGTTTATTACACTGATCTGAAATCAAGT